AGTGTGACGTTACTCAAAATAAATAATCTGGAGACAAAATTAAGAAATATCTTGCAGACATTTTCCTTTTGGAATATATAGATTAAGATTCCAGAAAAACAAGACATGACCTAAGTTCTTGTCTTAGGCTATCAGATATAATGTGAAGTACTCATATATCACTTCACAAAATTGTACATTTTATCTGCATTAATACTATATTGTATCTATAGTGTATGTATCTTACTATTCTCTCAAAATTATTACAAAAAAAAAAAGAAAGAAAAAAAATGGTATGGTTGTGATGGATAACACAAGTCGGCATTTTATTCAATGGTAATCGAAACAATCCGAAATGATGTTTGCATATGTCGTCACATGCGATTTTCAATTATTTTTTCTTTTTTTTTCGAAAATTATTAAAGGGGAAGTCGAAAGATTACAAAACGCTATCTAACAAACAACAACTTAGTCTCGATCATTCGAACGACATGCGACTACATATATCTAAGGTAAATCTTACATTTTTCCTCGCTACATATTGTTTCGATTATTAAAAGAAAACCCGAAAAAGCAGGGACTCGAGGGCACGAGCCCAAAAGGATTCCGGTTCATGGTCTTTACCGATACACAAAATTATATATTGGAGAGCTTTTAACTAATTGCCCCTAACTTTTGAGAGTTTCTTTTGTTTCATATTATCTGTCATTTTAAAATTATATTTCAATGCTGCATTAATTAAATAAATTTCAATTATGCCTTTATTAACTCTCTAGCACTCTCTCTACATTAATTAGTAAACAAATTTATTAAGTGAAGATATATTTATTTTCCTAAAATCATGACATACTTATTAAGAGGGTGTTTGGCTAAGCTTATAAGATGTTAAAAGGAGCTTATAAGATGTTTTAGAGCTTATAAGCTCTTCCAAAGTGTTTGGTAATTTTTTAAAAAAATATCTTAATTTTTTTTAAAATAAGCTGTTGGAGAGCAAATAAGATCTTTTTAAATAATATAAGTACCTCTACCCCACATTTTTATTTAAGATCTTATAATGAGTAAAAATAGGAAATAAGTTTATTATCCAAACACTCTAAAAATTAATCTTAAAAATAAGATGTAACAGCTTATCAGCTTTTAAAACATCTTATCAGATGTAATAGCTTTTCAGCTATTTAAAATAAGTTTAGCCAAACACCCTCTAAGTTTATAGGAGGGATTGAGTACCACTTTATAAGAGGAAATTATTCTTTATTTATTTTAATTATCTACTATACGTACATAATCCTTTCCCGGGCTGTATACATATATTTAAATATTTGGTTTTTATGTTTTTTTTTCCCTTTTAAGTAAATTAATTAATGTTTTAATCAAAGTTTAATTGTTTGTAAAGACATAAAAAAATCCATCCATTAACAGATAAACTTAATGCTAAAGAACAATGTGGTTAATACACCAATTTTGGATGATCCACTGTACAGAGAGGGGGCCGGGCATGAGTGTGAGGTACAACGAACTTTAATTAAATGTTTTCCAACCATATTTGTGAACAAATAAGGTATATATATATATATATATATCACTATTTTGATGTACTACATTGTAATTGTATATAGTACCTACTAATAATGTTTTGGAAGAAAAATAAGTTAGAGAAATAAAGTAATATATACTTTCTTGATTTTGGTAAAATATAGTTTATATTAATTGTAACAGTCAAATCATGAATAATACTTCAAAATTAATTGAACTTATTATTTTTATAATTAAATAATAAAGTAATCGAATAATAATTCATAAATGAAAACTTGTTTAGGTGATCGAAAAATCGTGATCCTTAGTGGTGAGCTTGAACTCGAGTCCTAAGAATTTAAGCTCGAATTCGAGCTCGAGTGAAACTCCGTTTGTTTACACTCCTAGAATAAAAATATCTTAAAAGAAGATTTTCTTAATTATATTCACTAAATGTAGTGCACCTACATATATGGTTGTGCATTCCTTCAAATACAACCACAGCCACTAACTTTTACTTATTGGAAGCTTTTGCAAAAACTCACTAGAGTTATGTGACAATTAACTTATGTAAACCGGTTGAAAATTGACAGTGAAATTGTGCGATTAAATTTGTCAAATTAACTGAAAATTTAACGGTGAAGTTTTAAAATTTGATAGCGAAATTCTGAAAATTGGCAGTGATTTTTCGTACATTTTCAATATACTCCGACAAGCATAAGTGGCGCCCCTCATTGAATGCGTCTAAAAATTGCAGTTCTTTTGGTGTGTGTGAGAGAGAAATGTAGGGCTGTAAATCGGACGGATCATATCGCAATTAGCCTTTTCGGGTTTTTTTTTTTTTTTTTTTTTTTTTGCAGATGTGAAAAACTAGTTCCAATTTCGTTTCAAATAAATCAGAAATAAAAATTTTGGAAATTGGAACGAAAATAACTACTTCCAAAATCGGAAAATTTTGGATAGGAATAGGCAGAATTCAAAATTTTCAATTTTTGCTCACCTTAAGTATAAAAAACATACATATTGGTATTTTAATTGTAACATTCATATTTTTTTTGGATTTCTGAAATTATTTTCGGATTGGATAGGAAATCAAAATCTCATATATATTCCAATTCTGATCCAAATAATTTTGTGAAAATCAAAAGTCGGAATTTCCGAATTTGAATTGAAAAATTTGTTCCAAAATTGAAAAAAAAATCTGATCAGAATTGGTGGAAATCGAAAAATTCGTTCCAATTTCCACCCCTAATAAAATGAGTGAGTAATGAATTACGTGTTAGCAAAACGGAAGTCCTCAATTCCATATTCTTCCATAATTCCAAATTATTATCTATGTATTATTGTTATTCTTTAGATACAATATCTAATCATGCAAGACTTAGTAATTGACCACATAATTCTGCTGGTGCACCGTGCGTGTATTTAATTATTAATACAATATATATATATATATATAAATAAATATATAAAAATATATAGTGTGGTGAATATTATTATATGGTGGCAGATTTGAACAATCTTGATAAGTGATTATTAGAGACGTTTGACAGCTCTTTAAAATCTATCTTACTGTCAGGAAAATAAAAGACATACATACTTTGTACGATCATTTGCATTTATTAATCGAAAATAAATCTATTAATTAGTGGTCCAAAACTTTAATTCTCAATTTCTTTTCTTTTTTTTTAAACAATTATATAAAAAAATAAAAAAATAAATTAAAAAAAAAAAAGCAAAATGGAAATCTTGGAGGTTCACTTTTTGGCAGGGGTTGGGCTTTTTTTCCAGTATAGTGCAAAGTCAGGGAAAGACAACAGTAACAGCACGCAGTTACACATACATATATATATATATTTTCCTTAGCTTCTTGTAATAAAAACACACACTACACACACACTCTCTCTCTCTCTCTCACACAAAAGAGAGAGAGAGAGGAGAGAGAGAGAGACAGAGTAGTTCATGAAATGTAATGGTCTCTTCATAAATGGAAAGATGGCTGTGCCACTGATTCTGATGTGGTTAGGGTGGAAAAAGAGAGTAGTATGATACATACATATGTATATTTGTTTATATATATATATATATAATATTATAATTAAAGAAAAAAGAAAAAAAGAAAAAAGAATAGAGTTTGTTTGTATGTATGTATGTGTGTGTGTGAGGTGAGAGGGACGAGTCTGAAGGAAGAACCATTACAACTGTGGCACTGAAAAACATGGTGTCTTTCATTAACATTTATATGGGTGCAGAACTTCCACAGTAAAGGACTACTCTTTTCTTTTTTCTTCTGACCCTTTTTACATTATTGTGTGTCTCTCTCTATACTTTCTCTCTCTACTAATACTACTGTGTGTGTGTATTTTATTACATGTATAATTATGTATATAATGTGTAATAATAATAAATTTGTTGCAGTATTCTAGTTTAATGCGTGGTCTAGGGGGCCTAAAGAAAGGGGGTCACCCCCCATTTTCTCTGACCACCTCACCCAACAAAGATCTTCTAATAGTCCAAACACAAAATCTAAGCACTGCTAAAAGTTGGTCTCATGGTAGACCATATTATTATATTTTATCTATCTATCTATCTATTATTCAAACTTCCTCTTAATTACTCCACATATCGATCCACATTATTAATATTCCCTGTTATATATGGATAATTATAATTAGGGTAAATTACGGTCACTTCTGACTAAGTAAAGTCGAATTACAAAAAAATCGTGAATCTTCTTACACGTGTCAAATTCAATAGAATCTTTTAGATTCCGTGCAATGTTCTTTAATTTGTAGTCGTTTTGTGCAAATATGTAGTTTCTGATGAACTACAATCTGATATTTTCAAGCTAAGAGACACATCTTATGATCACCTTATTTGTAAATGTGGAGTTCGAATGGAGTAAAACAGATATAAACTGGAGAATATTCTATATAATCTATAAGATTTCTCTAAATTTAACACCGCAAGGATGTACGTGCAAGAAGATTCATAGTTCAGAGGATGATTGTAATTACCTAAACACAAGATTTTTTTTCTTCGTAAATTGACTTTACCTCGTATAAATTAAAAGAAGGAAAAAGCAATGATGAATACTTTCTTTCCTCTTATTTAAAAACCAAACATATATAAGCTGGAATTGAAGAACAATCACATGCGTTAAAGAAAATTACCTTACATCTCTTTCTCTATTCGAAAATAAAAATAATTAAAGAAACCCTAAAATTAATATAGTTATGCAAAAACCGACTCGAGTTCGATTTCCCTTGCTAACGTTTCTAATTAGATCGAAACTCGTAAAATTAAATTAATTAAATACCAACACATGCATTCCTTTTTTTCTTTTTTTTTTTACCATAATAATTAATTAACAAACACAAATATATAAATATCGTCCTAAGCAAATTAACAAAACGGAAGAAAAAATAATAAAAAAAAGGGTTAATTAATTAATAAAACATTAATAATTATTAATTAATATATGATATAATTAATTAATTAACATATTGCTACTTTTGATCGTTACTTTTTCTGAATTCCCATTCCCTCAGCGCAGCAGAAATGTAACTGAGTGCCATGTTATTGGAGTTGTGATCACGTGGGGAGGAGGAGGAAGAAGCTTCTTGGTGGTGGTGGAATTTGCTCCGGCAGTTATGGCACGTGATCTGCAGAACGGCGGAGCTCATCTGCTTCGCCGCCTGCTCTTTCAGCGCCTGCGCTTTTTCAAGCTCCGCCTGCGCTTGCTGCCGGATTCTCTTCGCCTTCGCGAACTCCTGCTCCGCCAGCTCCATCTGCCGCCTCGCCTGCTGCCGCGCCTCCTCCGCGTACGCTTTCTCCGCGATGGCCACCCTCAGCTGCTCCTCCGCCTGCTCCTTCACCGCCGCCGTCCCGCCGGTGGTGGTGCTACTGCCGCGCGGCGAGCAGCCTATCTCCGACGACCCGATGGAGAGCTGGAGCTGGGTTGAGTGCTGCTGGTCCCTGTCGGCCGGCTTCGTCGAGTTGTTGCCGGAGACTGCGGCGGCGGCGCTGCTGCTGCTGGCTTTTGTCAGCAGCTGGAGCTCCAGATTTGGCGGGTGGCAGTAATTATTATTATTTATATCAGGTGCAGCTGCATCCGCCGCCGCGGTGGTGGTGAGGAAGATGGGGTTTTTCAACGGCGGCGCGCGAGATCCGGCGGCGGCGGCGGCCCACGGTGGTGCGGCGACGCTGAGATTGGTGTCGCTGGAGGGGCTGGGGCTGGACGCCGTCCGAGATAAGCAAGCTGTCGGCGGCTGAAGAGGGTGGCAGTCTGATCGGAGCCGCCCCATACTGCAAGCATCTTGATGCTCGATGAAACTCTCCACCCTATATACAAAAAGAAGAGAGAGAGAAAGAGAGAGAGAGAGAGAATTTTCATCAGTACTGAAATAACATGATATATACATACATAATACGTGTATCTATATATGCCTGTATATATAGATAGCTAGTTTGAACATGGAACTGCAAAACAGTGTAATAATTGAGGAAGAATGATGATCGTAAGAAAAAGGGTTGTAATAATTATTTTTCGTAGTGGAAAAGTGCATATTAATATTAATAAAAAAAAGGACAAATTAAATTAAAAAGAGCATAATATATATTGTTCCGAAGACCAGTTTTTTCACTCATGAAGATGATAACATGGTTCATATCATTAGCATCTTGACCACCACCTTCTAACCATCTTCACCAAAAAAAATTAAAATTAAAAAAAGATTAATAATAAAAAAATTAGAAACAAATAAATCCTAAAATGTACTTTAGGTGTTTGAAATACATTAATTAATTTGAAATAGTAGGTTGGATAGTGGGGTTTATGATGATATTAAAGAATTATTACAAGAAAACATCAGAGCTTAATTATTAATTAATTAAACACACAAATAGTGTATATACATATATAATATGTATGTATGTATATAAATAAATAAATATAAAAAATAGTATGTAGCTTCCATTCCATGCATGAAAACAACCCATCAAAAAAATAAAAAAAAGACTCCTTGATCTTTGGGGAATATAATCTAAGGTTTTTTTCTTCTTAACTGTCAATTGAAATAAAAAAAAAAGTATTAATTAGAGGGGCTGACGTCATCATCAGTCAAAGCAAAAAAAAATAACCTAGTCTATTCTTGATTTTTTAGTCTGCACAGAAAATGATTTGACACACAGTCTTCCTGCAAACCCCAAATACATTTTTTTTAAATCAAAATCAAAATTAAAATCAAATTTAAATTAAAATAGAAAAAAAAACACACACACACACACACTCGTTTGTGTGTTAATTAGATCTCTAACTAAAAACATTCTTGTTATTTGCACTGATTACAATGAAAATAATAATACTAATAAAAACAAAACCTTCCTCGATCGAAAAGATCACATTTATTTATTTATTTATGTGTGTGTACTGTATATGTGTATGTATATAGTATAGTGGAGCCGGCTCAGTACGCACCAAAAACACCGTGGCTTCCCC